TTTATACCTTCCAAAGCTCCACAAGATGCAAAAGATGCAAGATATGAAGTAGATACAACATTTCAACCAACAAGCACACCACCTTCTTATCCCAAGATACAATCCAAGGAAAGTATACCAAAGCTCCTCTAGTTTATACCTTCCAAAGCTCCTCTAGTTTATATGAGATGACTTAAACGTCATTTGACCTCTTTTCCAACACTCTCAACTTCCACACTTTGATGATTAATTTTTTTATTTATCTTTATGTAATTTTAGATGTTTAGTATACCAAAACGAAAGTATCACAAATAAAAATACAAATGTATTTTTATTTATCCATCTTGACGATGTATAAGATTCTAAATTTGTGTCCATAATTTAAAAAAAAAAAAAAAAAAAAACATATTTTTGGAAAATGGGTATGTTCCATATCACAACATTTTGTAGTTGTGAGATGTTACTACTGAATAACAAATCCAATGCAGTTACATTTTATTCTAAACAGTTAAAACTCTATTATAAATATAAAATATGTTTAATTAGTAAATTGTGTTATGATTGTATCATCAAATGAATAGTTTTGAACACATAACATAAAATACTACTTATTTCACAATATACATAGTGAAAATGAAATATTTTTTGCAAAAATTGTACTTTACGAAATGATGATATTAATAAAATGTACTTTATGAAAGTTTTTGTAGTGGATACTAATTATAATAAATTTCACAAAAATAATAATAATAATAATAATAATAATAATAATAATAATAATGCAAATCCCATTGACAAATGATATATTTTGTATTGTAGCATTGACATCATCCAATTTGCTCTTATTAGTGATTATCCGGGTATAGTATTTAACCATAAATATTAAATTTAAAACTAAAAATATACCCACCTTCCATATTATCTTGCTCAATAAAAATCAATTTACTTAGTCATGTGATGTCCTGTGCGTGTTTGAATTCTACACGCCTTACATTCTCTTCTTTCTTTAATGAACAACTGAAATCAACCACATCGTCAGTTGCCCATTTATTATAGTTATATTTATCTACATTTCTAGTTATTTTTATCTACATTTCTATAAACATTTCTATCACCATCCCATTAAGTTTACAATCATTAGATTTGTTATCATACATATTTATATTTATATTTTATAAAATTATCCCAATAAACTATTCACGTGATCCGTCACTAGTAACAATTCCCTTTAACTAGTATACTGCGAGAATACAACTATACAACTATATGATTGTTATCTTTTAAAACAATAATCCAAAAACCAGATCAAATTGTTAGACACATTCTTTTTATGTTAATTAAAACATAAAAAAAAGTTAAAATCTAATAATATTTTTGGAATTGTTGAAAAAATCGTTAATTTTATTTAAGAAATCGTTACAGGGAATCGCCGAAAAAAAGAGTTTTTCTATATTGAAGAGTGAAAAATAAAGGAAAAAAAAAACGGTTTTATATCTTTTTTTTTTTGGAAAATCGCAGGTGGATCAGCAAATTCGCAGATGGACTATTCCATCTGCGAATGTACAAGTACCTAAAGCACAACTTTAGACACTTGTACCTTCGCAGATGGAAGGGCAAATTCGTAGATAACTCATTTCCATTTGCGATTTAGGTGGTTATTTTCGCCAAAAAAAAAAAAAAAAAGGGTAAATTTGCAAAATAATTAGTAAAAATGGTTATTTTTTCAATTTTCTCTTATTTTAATAACAAAGGAGAAGAAGATGCATTGTGCAATTTCTTGAATAAAGCATGTGAAAATTCCAGAACAGCTAAAGAGGCATTGACTTGTTCCTTGTTCGTAGCCGTATATGGGCCTAAGCTGCCAATAGTATATCCATATTGCATGTGCCCAGCCCAATTAAGCCCAAAAATACAATGACGTGTGCTACCGAGATCGGTGGCGCGTGACGTTAAACTCAATTGAGCGAATAAGTGAATTCAAATAAAGAACACTCCACCAAACACCGAGTAATACACCGGCTCCCCCAATCTACTCACCGGAGAATAACGAACGTCGGCGAGATACTGAGATCCTTCTCAGCTTTTTCTACTTCACAGTGCATTCCCGCCGGGTATTCCTTGGCTGTGTATTGTTTCTTCGATGGTTTCTCCGGAGAACACTAATTGGATCTACGATTACGGGTTGATCGATGATATCTCGGTTCCCGTAGGTAATTTCCTTACGCCGGTATGTGGATCCAGCTGGCCTGTGCAGACCGCTTTGACTGGTTCATCATCCATCCCTAGGTAACGTGTGTGTTACTTATTCCATTTACTAAGTACAACAATTGACCTGATTTGCCCACACTACATCGACATCGAATTGATTGATTGATCGTTTCACTTGGGGTTTTTCATTTAGAGGTGTAACATTTAAAGAAAAAAGGTTTTTTTTGGTGGTGTTATAGGTTATTAGTTATAATTTACGGTGATTGTTGCTTCCATCGGTGATACCCTAACTAGATTGCGATGTAGTTGAGGAGATAAAATTGATTTCTTTTTCAATAGCTTTGATCAAATGTGTAAGATTGCAAGGTTAAGGTTATAAGAAATCATTTTTTCTGTAGATTCTGCAAATTGATTATGCAATTTTTTTTTTTTATTTTGGTTTGTAAAGTAAACGACGTTCCTAATCTAGTTTTATGAAGAATTTCTTGATCAACCACATTTCTTCTAATAACTCATTGTGTACTGGTCGTAATCTTCAAGATGTAAGATGCATTCTTTTTTTATACTTTCTGAGTTTCAATTGCTTCTTACTAATTCCAGAATTGGGATGCAATCGTTTTTCTTACATACGCATCCATTTATATTGCTTCATCTTGTCTTTGGTTACTCACCTCTTCACTTTAATCCTTGTTTTAGTGTCGAACTTGATAGCTTACCTGCAGATACAGATGGCATTAAAGAAAGTGGTTCAAAAAAGCGGTATGTACTATTGAGTACTCTTTACTCTTAAACTTACGTGAATACATACAATGGATTTTTTTTTTTTTTTATTATTATTTGTAAATGATGAGAAAAGAGTAACAATCTTTTATTCTGTATCTACACAACAGGGGTAGGAATGAACAATGCAGTGGTACTGGTACAACCTCCAAAGCTTGCCGAGAGAAGTTGAGAAGGGATAAGCTAAATGACAAGTATACCCTTTATCCTCTCACTCCTATGTTCTCTCTCATATGTTAAAATTGTAAGCAGTAACATGTGTTAACAGGTTTGTTGAATTGGCTTCAATTCTTGAGCCTGGGAGGAACCCTAAAACTGATAAGTCTGCTATTTTGGTTGATGCTGTGCGAATGGTGACTCAATTAAGAAGCGAAGCACAGAAGCTAAAAGACTCGAATTCAGATCTCCAGGAGAAAATTAAAGAGCTTAAGGTACTGATCCCATCCAATCCAGTTGTGCCATGTGTCTTTCCATTTTATAGTATTATTCAAGTTGCTAATAATGTATTTTTATATGACATATTATTGACATTATTATGTAGTCTGAAAAGAACGAACTACGTGATGAAAAGCAGAGACTAAAGGCTGAAAAAGAGAAGCTTGAAGAACAAGTGAATATGATCAACAGCCAACCGAGGTTTATGGGTGTGCCACCTGGCATCCCTGCTGGATACCCTCCTCAAGTTCAATCAGCGTCATTAGCATCAATGGGTAGTAAACTGGTTCCTGTTATGAGTTACCCAGGAATGGCCATGTGGCAGTTCTTGCCACCTGCTGCGGTCGATACCTCACAGGATCATGAGCTCCACCCGCCAGTTGCGTAATTTGGGTTAAGAAAGTAGAGAGAGGAGAAGAGATGCAGATGCTCTTTATTGAATCAAGAGCTTGTGATTACTTTGTTAGGATTCTGTGTAATTTTTATAGGTGTCGACTATACCTTCTAAGTTGTTATGCCTGTGGTATCTTTACCAAAGTAAAAATCCACTGTTTACTCGATGTTTTGTTACTTTTGTAACTCTACTGAAAGCATAAATCTTGATTCTACCAAAGTTCTGATTGTTGGATCATTTTCAATGGTGTCGTGTTTGGTATTTGATGGAATGAAATCATAAATAATCTAACGGATTATGTCACTAAGGCATGTGTGTTGTCTAATGTGTACAATAAAAAGGATAGTTTTTCATCCCAAAACGTCCCTTTTTAGAATTTCACTTAAACAGAAACTTTATTACATAGGCATTAAACTATAGTCAAATAAAGACATATCCCTAGATAGATTACAAAAAGTATATTTATCATTTATCATTTTTGTTTACAAATATAGAAAAGTAAATACTATGAGATCTTAGAATAGGATAATAATAAAAGTTTACTATTTTTATAAGATATCTAAAATAGTTGTGAAATTTTTATAAACTTTGGTGATATTGAAGTTTGGATATTAAAATAGTCTAAAAGTGAGATTATGTGTGGGGATGCTTAACACCCTAGTTTTGGTTTGGGATATGAAAAGATGCGGAATTGATTAAAGTAGGTTAGCCAAATGAGGTATGGAAGGTGTTTATAGTCTTAATTTAATACGGTAGGTGTATAACGTTATTAAGGCATGTCATGTAGTATGTTGTTTTGATAGTTGGAAATATGTTATATATTGTTTTGGTATTGTTGGAATGACTAAAAGTAGTGGTTGGCATGCTGACCTGCTCATTTAAAATGCGACTAGGAGTGGAAATACGTTAATATTTGCTATTTTCACTTCCTAAAGTAGTAAAATGAGCCAAAACACGGTTTTGGTGATTCCAAATACATGTTTGTTAAAATCAGGGTATATGTTAGGGTTTGGAAGAATTACGGGTATATGTTAGGGTTTGGAAGAATCACGGGTAATGACAATTAATTTGCATTTTGAAATTTACCGTTGGTAATGAAAGTGGGCAGTTCATATATATATCACCAAATTCTACCTTGAGAGCAAAAAAGGGTTTCTTAAGGGGGCATTACCATTAGATGCTAAATAATAAAAAAACAAAGAAGTAAGAAAACAAATTAGCATTAGAATTGAGAAGAAGCCAAAATCAAAGAGTTGCAAATGATATGATGCTACTATCCAAGACATCATTATTCATGATTATTCAAAGTGTTATTTACACAAGTCATCAGAACGACAAACTTTTGATACAATCGCCACAACTCCACAAATATAAGAAGTAAACTCAACCCCTCCACATGCCTCCTTTTTTTACAATAGAAACAATCATACAAAGATCTTGTCCCCACCTACACAACACAACCCCAAATATTACCACATACCACAACACAAAACGGTCAATATGTAATAGTAACTGGTCAAAGTTTACCTTTAATCGACCTCCTTGTCACCTTCATCTTGCAAACGGTTCTCCAGTTTCTGACTTATGATGTTGTTACTATTTACAAGCTCAGATTGTGATTGGGTCCCACTCACACTTATCGAGCAATCTCTATTATTTACAGTCTCTAGTTGAGTGTCAGATATCAGACAACTGTCACTATTTACAACACTTTTTGGCATTTGACTAGCATCCACCCCTATTTTCTTCATCACCATTATTATCAGCATATGGCATCAAGTACATAGGATCACCACCATTCGAAACAGAGATTTGAGGGTGACCCCACCACTGATGTAATCTAAACTCAGAACTCTGTATAACAAAAAAAAAAATAATAAAATAAGTTTTCCTTTCCAAATGATCAATATAAGCAATGTACTTAAAAAAATAACCGTGTTGTTTGAACTATAGGTCCTCGGAAGTGATCGACAGCTGGCACCAAATGTCTTGGTCTTGCTTCAACAGTGTGTGTTATAATCTTCTCTATCTCAAATTCACCTTTTGAATTATTTTCCTCTTCCATTATGACATCATCCATTTTTAAAGATTGAAAATATATCTACCCCAAAAATCAACAAAATCAGATGGTGGTTTCCAAAGAAAGTCAAAGTGTATATATGTACTCGTGCTCTTGCCCATAATAGGATCTTTGATTGGTGCATCTGTAACTCAACTTCGGATATATACACATGATTCTTTTCATCAAGGCTAAAATTTTCTTTTTTGACCTTACACATACCTTCGAAATAATCACTATTTTCGTTTTCGATTCTTTTCGGAAATACCCTCCTGCTATCTGTATGCCCATTTTCACCATATATGTCAAACTTCTCTTCTCTCTCCCGTCTGTTATGTTTATGATAAATGTTCCGTTTCTGAATTGGTTCTACCATCAATCTCGAATCATGATCAGAACAATATTCATAAGCATTGTCCAATCCAGACATTACTGTTATTGGAACAGAATCCACCTCAGATGATAAACACAGTGCATACTGTATCACACAACCCGAAGAAGAAAAAACCAACATGTAGTACTTTTCCATTATATAACCTAAATCCGAACCTGTATTGTTACTGTTACCCTTGCATTTATAAAAAGTAGAAGCAATAACCCCAGAATATGAATTATTCACCCTCCCAGATTCAGCTACAGCAGCCCCTGTCACCACATTTTTCCAACCACCGTTTCCATTCCTTATTCTGCTAACAGCAGAAAGAGCCTGTGGTCCTGAATTAGGTGATAATCCAGATTCTGAAGACTTGTTTGTTGCATCATATTTCAAGCATTCTTGGGATATAGCAAATAGATGGCTAGTGCCTCTTGATGAATTATCCAGTTGCTATCAACACTAAAACTTATGTCCTGTATAACCTGTTAAAGGAAGTCACTCTAGAGAGTTGAAAATCAAGAAAATGATATTTAGGAATGTAAGAATATTACAGCATTTGTAAAGCCACGTTGGAGTTTGTAAAGATGTATGTAAGATGCACTAGTTTCAGATCCAGATGAGTTACTTGAAATCCATGGCATGATATGAAAAACATTAAAGTTATGACCATGAACAGAAGCAGTTACCAAAAGGGTACCACTAGGGTCAACAGATAGTGATGTTATAGGACTGTCATGTGCCTTAAACTGAGCAATTACTGATTTGCTAAAAACATCTCTCGCAATCACCTGACAAAAAAAAGACAAAGTTAAACAAAAACAAATTAATCCCAAAAGCTTTAAGAGAAAGAAATTACCATTCCAACATTTTCTGCATCAGGTAAATATCCATTAGATGCTACACGATCTTTACGAGCGTTTAGTTGTTGAGAAATATTGCCATCTGGCAAGAAATCAGAGTAATAACTAGAAATGTTCTTATAACCAATATCACAAAGAGTAACAATTTCAACAGCAAGTTGTTTGCTTGATAGTTTTGCATAGTGGGCAACAATGCTCCCATTTAAACCAGGAGCAGAAATTTTTTTGGAGTGTGTGAGATGCTGTGGGTTGACACGTGTATTTGGTAATGCAACAATACTACCACTATAAGCAATCCATTTAGGGCCAACAGCAACAGGCCCCAATCCTATCTTTTCAAATCTTGAAGGGGTTGTTTCTATTTGATTTGTGATAATTGTGTACTCCCTTTGTAATGTTGCAACATCAAAACAATGCACCTGTTATGCATGTAAATATGACTTTAATGTTCGTTCTTGAGTCTTGATTAAAAAAAAGTGAAGGGTGATAATGAATGAGAGAGAAACAAACCTGTGCTGATTGTAAAACAACAACAATACGTGAACCGCATCTTACTGAGTAAACAACCGATCTAAACTTCAATTCTTTTATGTAAGATTGAGATTTTAATGAATAGAACCATACCACAGTAGGTACAGAGCCAACATTTACTTGATCATGACCATTGTTTATGTTACCATTACCCGGAAGATTTCCACCCGTAGAGAAGGACTCATCTGAACAAATTACCAGAAGAGGGCGGTTGTTTGCATATTCAACTTAGGAATGCTTTGAGACAATTGGTTTTAGCAGTAATTGCATAGAAAAAACAGCACCATCATAGTGTCAGACTATGTTACGCACATTGTTGGCATCTTCAACATCCCACACTTGAAAACCAAATTGATACCCTAGCAAGAGCACTTTGTGTGAGATATCTCCCTCACATTCAAGTTTGTCAAACTCGACCCATGGCACCTTTGTGTATAAAACATGGAAAACAGGGGTCATTTAGCACGATTAGAGACCAAACCAGTCAATAACATGTCAGAAAAATGCTAAATGATCTACTGACCACAGAGCAAGAACATATATGATGTTCGATCATTTAATACTCTAACACTAATACAAGTTCGAGATAAACAAACAAACTCACCTGATCAGGAACTACATCATTATCACGGTCGACAATGGTAGATGCAGCTGAAGCAGTAGAACGAACAGTGGATGCAACGGTGGATCTTCCTCGTCATCAAAACTCACATGAACCCAACAAAATCCTCAAAAACTAATCATAGCCTCAAGTCCGTTCCCTTGTAAAAGCACATAAAATAGCCTTATTCCCGAATCAGATCACGGGTGTCTCGACAATCAATCGCTACACAACAGAAATATCCAAATTTACTTGCACGACACTCCTTAAACTCTTTCCCCAAACAAAAAATCGATTCTCAGTACTTTTAACACCTTAACCTGATCAAGACATAAAACCAACAAATTCGAATCCCTCAGCAAAAAATAACAAGGGATTTGTTCTAGTTGACGTATTCACGATACAAAGAATTTCATAGACTAACAGAAACTAAAATAAATGAACAATTTATACAATCAAATTCAAATTTTTTGGGTTTTGTAGGGTAAAAACAATGAAAATCAAAGACGTGTACACGTATATACACCTAAATATATGTATGTAAATGGATAACGATACGAAGAAGATGGAGGAATCGTATAGTAGTTGAGAAAGCGATAACAAATTGAATTGAAGAAATTTATGGAAGAACGAAAAGACTCTTGATTTACGGAATTGAATCGAAGAGACCGCCCCCCACACGTATTGTTAGTTTTCAAGCATTATTTTTCACTATTGATGTCAACCACTAAGGGTTAAACTATGTCGGCGGGATTTTACATTTGCAGCCCTTCTCTTATTGATTTATCCCATTATCACCGCTATTTTCGTTCTTTGTTTCATTTCGAGTTAAATGCAAACGAAACTAAAGGGTTGTTTGTTTTTTGTCTGTATATATGCATGACCTCTTTTGTCTGCGTCGTGCAAGCATAAGGGCTTGTAGTGTGTTTGTTTTTCAAAAGTTCACATACATAGAAACTTCTACGTTAGGTCTTCATGGCACAGACATGGTATTGAGTCTTCTTATGTTTGCACGCTTTATTAAACCTAAAAAACACACGCACCTTTCTCTCCACAAATCGGCGCAAGAAGTTAGTGTAGTGTTGCAAGAGTGACGTAATGTTTACGTGACAAAAAACTATATATGATATGGATAACATCACTCCCTAACCTTCTAAATCCCTTTTATCTATTTATTAACTTTATGTGTGCAATCCATTAGGTTTAAATGATGTTCATAGTGATGTGAGTGTCTTATGTCATTGGCATATATTTTAACAACCTTTAGCTCAAGTAATACGATAACATTTTGTATCATCCATGCCTATCATAACTACAATTTACCTTTTTAACTATGTGTTAAATCACATTAATATTTTAAGAAAAACAACCAGATTGATTAAAATCAAATAAATACAAAATTACGTAAATGGTCCTTGTGGATTACCTCTTTGTTGTTTTTTATACGAATGATCCTTATGGTTTCTAAAAATTACATGAATGGTTCCTATGGCTTCTAAAACGTACATGAATGGTATCTGAGCTTTCTAGAATGACTGAAACACCCTTTTCCATTTTGTTATTATTATCTCTTTAATTAATTCTTAAAGACAAAAAAATATGGGCCCATTATAATTTTAATTTATATTTATAAAAGAAAAAACTAACCATTAATTACCCTCACCTCATCGCCCACTCTGGTACATCCAAAAAACGGAAGAAATCAAGACACAGATGTTCCTTTTAACATCAGAAAACCACTACCTTTGGGAAATTCATATATGTCGTTGCCATTGACAACAGCATCTTCCACTGCCGAAATTGCTTCCAAGAGCCTGTAGACGATTGATCGATGCAAAAGTCAACATCTCCTCCAACATCACCAATATAATCTATAATCTTCATTGCAACTAGATTTGCAAGAGAAGCAACTGAATTTTCACATGAAGGCTGAAGAAGGCATTGATCTTGGTTATTACACTACATCTTCACCTTCATACATCGAATCTCACCCTCTATCATTTTCCCATCCTAGTTTCCTTTCAATTTGTTTAAGGTTTTATATGTTGGTTTTGAAATCGGACTCGTGGGATCAAAGGCAAGAAACGAGTTTAAGGTTCTTTGGGTTGGTTTCATATTAGTCACACAATACCCATACAACTAGCAATAAGCTCCATTGTTCAATAGAGTGTAACTTTGTTCATACTTGTTTGACCGTTGTAAATATGTTCTTGATGGAGGTGTTGATGAAGGTGTGTATTACGTTTTTCTCGTATTAAGTTTCCATCAGTTTTTATGAATTTTGTCAATGAATTATTTCTTCAAAATATGAATTTAACATATTTATTATATAAATATGATCAATTATGAAATGATTGTCTTTTTAGGACAAACTTATCAGTTTTCTATTTTATAATTTTGACATAAGTTTTAAAAATTATTATGAGTTTAGTCCATATTCTTTAAAAAAAATTATCCCAAATTTTTTCACGATTTGTTTTTATATGTTTTTTCTTAAATTTAGGTTTTTTTTTAATAACTTTCTTTTACATATATGTCTTAGTATAACTTGTTTTTGTATATGAGGATTTGCATGTCAACATTATTACTTGACTTGTTTTGACTAATATTAATTTGTTACGTATTTAGCCGAATATATCTAATTCTCCATTTTATCACATCTATGAAATGGTATAAGTAATAGTATTAAAAAGTATAAACAAATGTTTGGTAAAAAATATTTAAAAAAATACAATAACTATTCCCCCTAATTTGTGAAGTTGAAGCCGTCAAGCCACATATTTTGTGTGGTTCTAAGTTTCAGGTTCGGTTCCATGCGTGTTCCAGCCTAATTATTACGTGTTGGGTCCGCATAAGATTTCCAACTAGTTATACTTTCCTCCTTTGCAAACCCAAATTTTCTAAAGATTTTCACTTTTGGTTATTATAGAAAGATTCCAAATAATTTTCTGAAACTCGTGTATTACATAGGTTGATTTAAAAAAAATTAAAAATTAAATTAAAGTATAAACAGAAAATATTTTATATACAACTTTAAAATAAGAAAAGAAAAAACGTATTTATTGCCTATCATATATATGATATTTAATACTTTACATATATAAATATATAACTTTAACTTTAAAACTGAAAAAAAACAAAAATTGACAAGTGAATAATATTCATTTCAAAAATACCACAAAATGACGAGTGTTAAAACTCATTAGAGATTGACATGTGGCAGAAAAAAACATTCATTTATCAAGAAGGATCTAAATCACGATAATCTTTTCGAAAAAAAAACTTTTTTAATATTGTTCAAACATGTGTCATAGTTCTATTGGCCAGTCATATATTTGATTAGGTCATCCGTTATACTCATCACTAACCATTATAGTGGTGGGTGTCACATCATCACAACTAGCTACCACTAAAAGGTTGTGATACTCACCACTATATCCCTCTTATTTTTTTATTATTAAAATAAAAAATATAGTATATTTTTTAATTAATTAAATTGTAGAGAGAGATGGAAAAAGGTGGAGAGAGATAGAAAGGAATAGAGAGAGAATGGAGCTGATTGGGTGTGGTGATCCGTGCTCCTCATCACATATGACCACGAAAGTATTCCACCACTAGCCACCACTAATACTATGAGATGGTGTTCACATTTATGGTTAGTGGCCACATAGAAAGTCTCGTGATAACTATACCAGAAGACCTTATGGAAGTAAACACTCATGAACGACAATCACAATAGCCATGGACTAAATCCTTGGACTAGCAAAATACCACACATGTTCAATTGCCATTCGATAAGGTGATAAAACGGACGGCTTGAAGATGTAGACAATGGGATCAAATCAAATGGGTTGCTTACGTTACGGGTCAAGTCAAAGATGGATTATCCCGCACATATTTTTTTGTTTGTTTTGAAAGATTTTTTAATATATAATCCCTTGAAATTTATATATGTTTCAAAATTAAGCTGTATTACAATAAAAAATCAGATTTTAGTAAAACTAAAGATGTTGTAAGCAGTATTAAAAATAACTTATTGATCTTTTTTTAGAAATGGAATTTTCCTAATGAGAGTTTCTAGATCAGCTTTCGCGCACCAATTAATCGTCGTTGTAAACATGAAATTATTGATTTTTGAAAAATCAGTAAGTCAAAACAATATTTGACAATGTGAAAATAGCTTTTAAAATAAGTTTTCATTATCCTTTTAAAAATGAGATTTTAATAAATTATGATTTGCAACTTTTTCAAATTAAATGACATCTACAATTGTTATGTTTTTTCAACAATTTTTATTTATTTATTTATTTGTTATGAATTTAACTTATCGATCCTCATCTATCTAAAATTTTCAAAAACATCATCTAAACATATTATACTTTAATATGAAATATTTCAAATTAACGTCATCATTTGAAATTAGTATACAAATATTTCATAAATGAAATCTATGATAGAAATAATTAAATAGTTAAATAAATAGAAAATATTTAAAACTATAATATAATTAAGAGGTAAAAATAAAATATGATAAAAAATAAAATGTGTTAGATGTCTAAAGCTATATAGTATATTGACCAATAGATATTGAATAGTCAACATAAATAAATAAATAAATAAATAAATAAAATCCATTTCAATGGTATTAAATGAAAATAAGTGATTACTCAATAATAATAATCTCTAAAATAAAGACATTGAAGATAGTTTTATTAATTTTTCCCCACCACATAAGCTAATCCCAACCTTTTGCCTAAAAGTCACTTGGGTGCTATTCCATTTAATAGATTGTTGAATAGTGAAGATTGATTGATTGTGTCGATTTTGTTGTTGGAAGTGACGATACCAAATAATGCGTGCCGAAATTATAAATCTTATAAGATTACCTCTTGTAGTATAGTTATAGGATAATTGTGATCACCTTTTATGTTTTGACCTCATCATGTTGTTATGCAAGTCCTCCAAGCCAAATGTTTACAATTAATGTTGCACAACATTTTAGGAATCCATGTTTGGATGCATGTGTCGTGTACACGATTTGTATGTTACTCCTAGTCGATTTAAACAATCATTATGCTATATACATATGAATAATACCACGACAAAGTAGATATAGGCTTTCATGTGAAGTTTTTTCGGACGTCTTCAAGTACTCATCATAAGCATTATGAACTGTCTCGTAGGCTAGTCGACGTGTTATAGATGTTCACTCATGTAACCTAGTAAAAGACTTTTTGTCTCTACCATCTTATGATACTCTAAAATATGAAAATTGTATTTTCATAGCATCAATAATTCATATGAATAGTTCTTTTCGCATGCATCCGAAAACAGTGGCGAATCTAGAACTAAAAATCACATACATCCGAAAACACTGAAATAAATAGTTTTTTTTAGCAAAAATAGATAGATCTTTTAGCCAAAATAAGATAGATCCTTCATATTTTATATATATATATATATATATATATATATATATATATATATATATATATATATATATTTGTTGTAATTAAAAAAAAGGTAGGTCCTAAGACCTACCTTAGCTACACTTAGCTACGCCCCTGTCCGAAAACCTGTTTTTGAACATTTGATCACAATGTACGGAATTCTCAGCAAAGTACTATTTAATGAGGATATATTGTGTAGCTTCACAAATTTATGTCTATATGATTTCTCGATCATAGTGCTCTGATTGAACTTGAATTATCATAAAAAAGGAGTGTAGCTTCAACCATTGTTGAAAAAACAATAACATTATATTCAAACATACTAATCTGACGACTTAACATCTGATCAACTTGATGATAATAAATCCGCTTTACAAGTATAAAGTATATGTTTAAAAGATAACGTTTTGTACATAAAGTGCGAAACTTGAGAATGTTTAAAATGTATTTATTATTGTTTTTCTAAATTGAAAAATAATCGTTGGCTTCCGACGGTCAACAAACAATTCTCGGGACAACTGTACCTAGTCGGGGTGTTTTTTTGTGTAATACCGCGAGTATGGGGCGGTGTTACCACTCCGTACCAGAGGGGCACATCAACCTTCCCACAACACACATCACACCACACATATATTCTCTTTTTTTAAGAAACAAAACCAATGGTTTGTAGGATGTAAATTGGTTCGGAACCGGAAGAACCGAAATTCGGTTGATGAGTAAACGGGGAACCGAAAACACGACCGAATACCACTAACTGATTATGGTTCGGTTCTATTAGGAAATGTGCTATCTAAAAAGATGTTTTGTACCGAAACTGAAAATAATGGATTGGAGGAACCGAGCCGAATACCACCAATCAGTTCCAACCATTTCTGATTTCGATTGAGGTCAATAAAAAGAATACTAAATTCCATACAACTTATATACTTAAAAATGTACATTGTTATAATAACAATATACCAACACATTTTGTATACAATAACAACATAATCGCACTAACTATTTATAAAAAACAACATATTTGTATTTTTATAATGACTTCAGCAAATACGTAACCTGAAGCTTATTTTTTTTTTTAAATACATCCTTATTGTGGTTAAACAAATGACAATAAAAGTATGCGAACGTTTCTTTCTAGTAATTTTCTAATAAAAAACCTAATTCTGCTTCAGCTACATAAAAAGTTTAGAAATTGAAAGGAAACAAAAACAATTGCAGGTGGTCCGCTAGACAAAAAGGGAAGTTTTTATACATAAAACGACGCTTTTTGGCGATCTCTTACTTTTAATGCAAAGTTTCCATCCATGAGAAAACCGAAGACATCGACATATCATCGCCTGACAACGGCCCCGAGAGGAGAACCCATAACAAAACGGCCATTATCTCCAACCGCCTCACTCCTTTACCCTCACTGCATCACCGTCGCCGTCAATCCCTCCGATCACCACAATCGTCAGCACCGCCACGTCATTGCTTTTGCCTTCATCTATCACCGCATTTGATCTGGCTTTCACGCTTGAATTTTTCGTCATTGCCGGCGGTTGTTGATTGGAAGGGTTGTTTTGGAAAGTCGGCTGAGGAATTATGGAATCGATAATGGCTAGGGCGCTGGAGTCCACTCTCAAATACTGGCTAAAATCTTTCTCCAGAGATCAGTTCAAGTTACAAGGACGCACAGTGCAGCTCTCTAATATAGGTGCGCATTTACCTTTACTTTGATTATGACACAAATGTGTTGAAATCGAAGAACTCGACGCAATTTGAATGTTGAATTGGAATTCAAATTTTGAACTTCGATAGATATAAGTGGTGATGCTTTGCACGCAAGTCTTGGATTGCCGCCTGCAATAACCGTAAGCATGGCGAAATCAGGGAAGTTGGAGATTGTGGTATGTAATTAACTTCTCGATGCAATATCAGTCACTTAATTATCATATGATTTTATTTTTTTGGGAAGAATTGCATTCAATAGTAAGTTCAGCGTCTGCTAGCTGAAGTTAATCTGTAGACACACAAATGGAGACGTTAAGTATTTTAAAGCACAGATAATTTTGTGTGTATATGCTGCTATACGTACATGTATTCTTAATATGATCGGATGTATGTATTTTTGAAGCTTCCGTATTTGAGTAATGTGCAACTGGAGCCCATTGTTGTAATGATTGATAAGCTTGATGCTGTGTTGGAGGAAAATGATGATTTGGATGCACGTAGGAGCACAAGCAGGTGATCGATCATTAGTCATTAATCATTAGTTTAAAATCTTGTGTTTAAGTTTAACATAAAATAATCGTGTTGGAGCACTATTTTGTTTGTTTGTTTCTGAAAGTGCACAGGCGTCTTCTAGTTCATCAAAAGGTGGTAGCTATGGATTTGCTGAGAAGGTTAGGTAGTTTTACAATTTACATGGTGCAATTGTGATTATACAGTGTGTCCTGAATATTTATCTATGTATTGAATTACAGATTTTTATTCTTATTTCTTAAATCTTAAGCTAGCTGGATTTTGTTTTTATTATTAGATCGCTGATGGAATGACATTACAAATACGAACCATCAATCTATTACTTGATACTCATGGTAGTGGTGGTGGAGAGGCAAGTTGGTAAGTTTATGATCTCAGATACATGCTTACTAAAAAGATAACAACAGTCATGCATAATATTTTTTATACATGTAATTCATTTTAATTAGTTAATTGGAATTTATATGAGTGCCAAAGCCCAAAGGGGATTTAGACTACTTAATTATGTATTCTTGCTAAGCCAGGGTACCACCAATGGCATCTATTACAATCCGCAATCTTGTGTTGTACACCACTAACGAGAACTGGCAGGTCTCTTCTAAAACTAGCTATATATTTATCTAATTTACACATTTTCTACTTATTTCAAATTACAACAAATGATTATTTATTTGGCAACAACATGTGACAGGTTGTGAACCTTAAGGCAGCAAGGGACTTCTCAAATGACAAGAGCTTCATCTATGTGTTCAAAGTAATCTTACCTGTCAAAATCTAACTATTTTGTTAGTACTGATCATTTCATATGATACTTAGTGTGTGTGTGTGTGTGTGTGTTGTGGAATGAACAGAAGCTTGAATGGGAGTATCTATGTATGGATCTGCTGCCTCATCCTGATATGTTTGCAGATCCTTCTCAAAACAAGAAACATGATAAGGGTGGTGCAAAGCGGGTGTTCTTTGGTGGTGAGCGGTTTATCGATGGAATATCTGGAGAGGCTTATGTAATCATAACACTTGATTGTCTGCAAACTCAGCTTCACTACCTAAATTAACTCACTCATCAGTTTAAACATTTCCTTAACTCTATCCAACTTTCATGTGTTTTGTTTTTAATTCTAATCAGATTACAATACAAAGAACGGAGCATAATCGTCCATTAGGTATGGAACTTCAGGTGCATATTACAGAAGCCGTCTGCCCAGTGTTAAGTGAGCCAGGTTAGTATGGGCTTCTTCCTTTTATTATTTAACTTAATGCATTAAGCACTTAATCTGGACAACTATTACTATACATGGTTGTTTCTTTAGAATGGTCATTTAGTCTCATTTAGACAATATGTTCAGTCTATAAAAGAAACAAACTTTATGTATACAATACTTTATCTAGAGAGACATCATTACCCATGCATGACTTAATGACTTCACTCTGATAAAATAATAACAGGACTTCGAGCTGTTCTTCGTTTCTTCGCGGGAGTATATGTTTGTCTTAACAGAGGAGATGTGACTCCAAATGCTCAAAAGGTTAGTAAAAAGTTACTATAGAAACTAACTGCGTAAATTTTATAAAAAGTAAAAACCAACTTTTTTTTTTTTTGCAGCAATCGATAGAAGCTGCTGGGCGTATAATAGTCTCCTTTATGGTGGATCATATATTTCTTGGCATCAAAGATGCTGGTTTGTGACTTTTTATATTCGTCTAAAACCCATCTTTCTTCTTTTTGTTTTCCTATTTTAGACAATAAAAAAATGGTACTCACTGAAAAATCTCACTGTACTTCTAGGGTTCCAGCTAGAACTTCTGATGCAGTCACTTCACTTTTCTCGGGTAGATTTCCATGCCACACTCCTAAATAGCTATATGTTTATGTTTTTCCCTGTACAATGTAATTAGTATTTATGCATGACGACAGTAATTATATTTGATTTTGTAGGCAACTGTATCTGATGGAGCAATTGCCAAATGCTTAACTCGGCTCACGCTTGGTGGACTAATTTTAAGGTATACTCTCTTAACATAAAACCTTCACATCCAAAATTTATATCTGCATCTGTCATTGTGTTTACTATTGATAGTTACTAAACTTAAACAAAATTTATATGATTGAATTCAGGGATACGTTCTCTCGTCCACCATGCCCACTAGTGCAACCATCCATGCAAGATGCTGCAGATGAACCTCTACACATTCCAGATTTTGGTATGGATTTATTTTGTGACTGATGTGTTTCTCATTAATGTGAAAATTAACATTTTGCAATTTCTTTTTTTTTTTCACTAGGAAAAAATTTCTGTCCTCCAATATATCCGCTAGGCGATCAGCAACCACCAACGCAGGATGACCGTGTCCCACTCATGTCCCTCCATTGTCTTAAATTCATGCCCTTCCTTCCCCCACCAGAGATTTCTTCACACACTGTAATCGAATGCAAGCCTCTTACGGTATTATATCATTTATCATCAGATTTTACATAAACCAAAAAAGATTATCCAATTTTACTCATAATGCAACCATTCTTCAATCTTCCCAGATTCATCTTCAAGAAGAGTCGTGTGTAAGAATATCATCTTTCCTAGCTGATGGAGGTGTGGTTAACCCCGGTGATATATCTCCAGATATCTCCATCAACTCCATTCAATTCAATATCAAAAAATTAGAAATCACTGTTCCACTGGAGCCCAGGAAACCAGACCATCCCACATATTTCCATCACCATTCGAGCTCCTTCAATGGAGCAAGGCTTCAAATCCACAACTTACATTTCTCTGAAACACCTTTTCTAAAACTTGGCCTGCTCAATCTTGACATGGATGCTGCATGCTTCTGTTTGTGGGAAGGCCAACCGATTGATGCCAGCCAGAAAAAATGGTCAATCGGAGCTTCTCTGATTTGCCTCTCTCTAGAAACATGTAGCAATCCCTTTGGACCTAATCCTTCTAGGATACGCTCTTCAGAGTTAGAGTTATGGAGGTGTATAGAGATGAGAAGTGTTTGCATTCAGGTGGCTATGGTAACAGCAGATGGAACTCCGTTAACACACGTTCCTCCACGTGGAGGTGTTGTCAGAGTAGGAATCGCCTGCGAACAATATCTATCCAACACCTCCATCGAGCAACTGTTTTTTGTTTTGGATCTGTACGACTATATCGATGACGTCAGCGTTAGGATGGCAATGGCGGGAATAAGTAAACCAACGAAGATTGTTAGATCCGAAAGTTTGGATCATGAAAGTTTAAGCGAAAAGGTCCCTGCTGATACTTCAATCAGTGTATCGGTTAAGAATCTGAAACTGACGTTTCTAGAATCTTCCTCCGTAGACATTCAGGGTACCCCTCTAGTTCAACTTGTCGGAGATGACCTGTTGATGAAAGTCGCTCATCGAACCTTGGGTGCTGCGATGGCAATTTCGTCAAATCTGCAGTGGGAGAAAGTGCAGGTGGAGTGTGCAGAGACAGATACAAGTTTGAGTGAGATGCGAGGTGTGTTTTGGGTGCAAAACAAGAGGAATTCGAACGGCGTTCCGATTCCGTTTATGAATATAAGCGTGGTTCATGTGATTCCATACAATCCAGAAGATACAAAGTGTAGAAGCTTCCGTGTAATGGCTTGTATTGCGGGTGTACGTCTTGCAGGTGGAATGAATTACAACGAAGCTTTACTCCACCGTTTCGGGATTCTAGGGCCAGATGGAGGCCCGGGGGATGATCTCTCGAGAAGTTTACATCATATATCTTCGGGACCTTTGTCAAAACTATTCAGACCATCGTCTCCGTTTGCCGATGACGTAGAGACTCGGTGTAAGCAGCTAGGGTTTCACTTTTCACAGTAGTCATTTATTTTCAATCGTTAATCGTCTTTGTTTCTTTTGTTTTAGATGAAGGCGTAGGGAGTATTAGTAGTAGCAGCAGTAGTAGTTACCTGCAGTTGGATGAAGTGAATATATCGATAGAATTGAAGGACTGGATATTTGCGTTGGAAGGCGCGGAAAGGCTGAAGTTGGAAGTGGAGGATTCCTGCAGCAGAGAAAAGAGATCCTGGCATACGTTTTTTGAGAGTTTTGTAGTGAAAGCAAATGGAAGCAAAAACCAGAAAGTAAAAAATTCGATTCAAGGAGAAGCACATAAATATCCTGTTCAAGACGTCAAGGTTGGTATTGAAGGGTTGAAGACTTTGAAACCTGAGTCACCGACAAAAGGAAGCGCAGATCAGAGACACAGTGGAGTCGATATTAAAATTGACGTGGTGCCTTGTGAAGACAAGGCTGGGAATATTACTTGGGCAGTGGAAACTTTGAAATTTTCTGCAAAACAACCGGTGGGTTTTTATACTTTATACTATTCAAGTTGTTGGTATTATTTTATAAAATTATAGGATAGGGGAAGTAGTATTTAATTTAGGGACCAATTATTATTATTATTATTATTATTATTATTATTGTGGTGGTGCAGATTGAGGTGGTTGTAAGAAAAGAGGAGCTGCAACATGTAGCTCAAATGTGCAAGCTGGAAATTGATTCAATGGGGCGAATAGCGGCTGGAATTTTACGATTGCTTAAGCTTGATGGACCCGTAGGTCAGGCAACACTGGATCAACTAAGTCGCCTTGGTAAATGAGTCTGAGATTTATTTATTTTTTTGGAAATCGAGGAGGTATTTGCATATCATATTGAAAATTTTGCAGGGAGTGATGGTTTTGAGGAGATATTCTCTCCGCGAAAGGTGAAGACTGATACTACTACTGAAGCTCCTAGTGGTAGCATGAACAGGAGTCCATCTTTCCTTGCACCTGTAGATGATAAGGAAAGTTGTTCTTGCTTGGATCCGACTTTAGCTTCACTTGAGGCAGAATTGTTGGAGTCACAGTCCAATTGTGCTGAATTGAGATCATCAGAATCTTCTTCCAACCCTCACTTACAACAGCTTGCTCGGAAACTAGAGACTATGCACAGTTTATTGGCCAGGTTGCGGGATCAGGTATATTTATTTTTCCTAAGTCCCAGTTAATTTATAGCTTGTTTTTACTTTTTATATATTTATTACATTTGCAAATTGCAAATTGCAGGTTCAAGTGATTAAGGAAAGGGAAAGATGTACATTCGAGATGATTAATTATAGAGGCCTAGAAGACGTCCTTTTGTAATTACCCGTGTTTTCTCACTTATTATTTTGTATGTATGTTATTGTTAGCCAATTTTGATAGGTAATTATTTTGTAAAGCTTCCCTTAAATGTACTTTTTCGATTAGAATGGCACGCAAACATCATATTGGGTTAGGGTTCATTCCATAATTAAGATTAAGATAAGATAATAACTCTTGATCATAATTCTCTCTTTTTAATTAATGATTCAGATTGATAGTAATTAACTTTTACCATTTACGCCAAGGCTTTCACAATATCACATCATGCCAATAACAACCATGTAGACATATTTTTCAGGTTATTGGTACAACCCAATATAATTATAACAAAAATTCAAAGTGAACTCGTCACGTTATTGGTTAATTTCATAACATCACCTAGAAATCACAATTCGAACAAATTATAATCTTACTTACCCAAGTAGAGCTTATAATGATTATAATTTGCAAAAATAACAAAATATCTATGTCAAAAGGGTATGAATTGAGTGTGAATCGGCTTTAGAAGACGATGAGAGTCTTTTTAGAACGAATTGATCCCTAAATTTATTTTTTTTGGCTTTATAGGGGCACAATATGAGTTTTTTTTGTCTAAAGGGTCATTAAACCGGCTATTACAGATTGACATTGACTAAAAGAGCAGATCATATCCTAGTTTAGGGGTTCATAAAGTCCGAAAAAAACTTTATACACTCAACGGGTAAACCCTGAAAAGTTCGTAAGGCATTTGTATCATTTTCCCTAATAAGATAATATACAAAATGTTTTCTCTATATGTCAAAACATTTTTTTCCTAATTAGTTAGTAATCCTTAACAATATATTAATACATTTATTTTGGTTTAAGGCCATACAATATATTACATATTGCTCTATTCAGTTTGTTGAACCGCATCCAGGAACACCACAACTTAGGTGTGGTGTGGGTGCGGTAGTTGAGTATGATGCATTTCTCGTGTTCTTTCTCCTCTCTTGATTAAGCAACGATTTATAGATGTATTTTTTTTTTCTTTTTCAGTTTTAGTGATATTTAATTAAATTATATATATAATAAAAATTATAAAAAAATATATTAAAATTTATGGTTATTAATTCTCTATAAAAAAAAGTATAATATTGGTATAAAATATATTTAATAAAAAATAAAAAATGAAGTGAGTGAAATGTGACAATTTCCGATTTTGAAGAATGAGATGAGAGTGATGAGAAAATAAGATGACTCTTAGATGGTAGACAAAATGTGAAAGAGAACTGATTCGTATACAATAGTTTTTTCTAATACACAACAATTTATGCATTACAAGGTTGTACAATACAACATTTTAAAACACTAATTGTTGTGTATAGAGAAAAATTATTATATACAAATTATCTCCCAACGTAAAAGGCGAAAAGATTATATATCCTCAGACCTAAAATAACCGTTTTCATCAATAAATAGTTAAGCTAGTTAGATATTTTGACATTGAAATGACGAACTTATTAGATTATTAGAGACCAATCCATGTTTGTCAAAAGTTTTAAATTAGTTATGAAACGAAAGAAATTTCTAATTTAACATTGAATCTTAGTTTTCGTATAAATTTGGAATTTGGTGCAACATTATGTTGCTACTCAATATATACTACTTGTATGATGATACTCTATATAATATTTGTTATTTGATATTTATTTATGTTATATATTATATTTAATTTATATGTTTCAATTTTATTTAGAATTATTAGTACTTATTCAAATAATTAAAGATTGAATTTGTATATAAATAAAACACAGTGTTATATAATGTTGGTAAACTAATATAACACACAGAAATGGAATGATACAGAGGGAAAGTGAAGGGTATCGAAGGAAAATCGTGTTCCTAAGTTTCATTAATGGAAGGAAAGTGAGGGGAGGGGAATGATTTTGGAGTCAAATTTTCCTTCCAAATTTTCCTCCCAAATTGGGCGGATTTGGGAAGAAAGTGAGGGGAAGGAAAATTTTATGTTTTATTTTCTTTTTCCTCCCAACTCGGGAACACAAAAACTTAAAATTTTCCTTCCATTTCCTTTCGTTTCCATCGAACTCGGGAATACGGAATAATGAATATTTTCCTTCACCTCTCTTTCTTTCTGTCATAATTTTCCTTCACTTTCTTTTAATGAATTTACAAAAAAACTCGGGAACAAGGCGTACGGGTGAATGTGATTCCGATGCAACCGAAGCTGTGAAAAAAGTGTCATCGTTAGAAGTCCAAATAATGATGAATTATAACGATTTTCTTGCTCCGTGTAGTCCTGTCAAAGATAAAATAAAAAAGCTCATATAGTCCAAAAACTACATTAAATATGTATGAAAATGTTTCCAAGAGTGTAATATTTCTCTACTTATATATGTAATACGTGTGTAGATGCATAGATAATATTTATTTAAAAGGGTACTAGATGTAACGTTTTCATCTAATAATTTCGTTGTTTTAATTTATTATATATGAATATTATAGTTTGTTAAGATAGTTCAAAAGTTATTCTAGTAAAAAGAGTGCATGAGTTCTAGGAATTCCCATATCGGTTAATAACTTAATAAAATAATAAAGTTAGAATATTTCTTTGATGTTAAAAAAGATATTGTAAATACAAACAATGGATGGATGGAAGATGCGTTTTTTTAGAAATTTGAGAACTTAATATATGCTGACATTTATGATTTATCTTAAGAATATATATATATATATATATATATATATATATATATATATATATATATATATATATATATATATACAGAGAGAGAGAGAGAGAGACAAAACTGTAAAATTGGTCCCTGTGGTTTTCTAAAAACTTTGGATAAGGTCCAAAAAGTTTTGGATAAGGTCCAAAAAGTTTTCAAGTTGCATGGAATGTCTAAAATCAGAAAAAAAATTTGGTTTTAGTCCCTAAAAGAGTTGAAATGACTTTTATGCCCTTTTAATTTTTTTAAAAAAAATTCTTTATTTATTTTAATTGTTTTATAATAATAATAATAATAATAATAATAATAATAATAATAATAATAGTAGGGAAATGGGCCCTACAAGCTATAACACCCTGACTCATTTTTTTCTCCCTCTCTCACTCATCAAAAAGTCATCATGTGAAAATTGCTCTCCATTCTCACTCACCTTTCCCATCGAGAAGCCCTAACGCCATCGCCCTAAGTTCGTCGTCAACCGCCCAGATTTCTCGCTACCCTTCATCGTCGGTAAGTATCTTACTTCTCATCGCCTCGATTCCCCCTCTCCTTCTTGAACCAATGGATTCACCTCTTGATGATTGAAACCCAACATCACAAAACCTCGATGGTAAAACCCCATTGTCAGACATCTACAAGTTTTTTGTCATTTCATTTTCAAGAATTTGCCTCCTAATCCCATTGTCAGCATCCTCCTGTCAATTGTGCAGCCTCCTGATAAGCGAACCCCACTCCAGGTTTCCTAAACACAACTCCAATGAAACCCCCTTCCCCTTCAGGAGGTCAAATTAAACTTTGAACTATGTATCGCCTTTCTGGAGAAGTTTTTCAGGTTCAGTGAAAATCTAATTTGCATAGAGAACTGAGATGGTCACATTGGATCAAAAGAAAAAGAAATTTGATGTGTGTAACAGAGAAAAAGAGGTAAGTTTCGATTTGAAATCAGATGCAATGTGCTTTGGGTTTTGCGGATTCCAAATTTGGAACTGGAAAATAGATTCCAGGTAGGTGATTGAACGGTGGGGAGAGAGGGAAGCAAAGATCAAATTGGTCGATGGTGCTCGAGTTTTGAGGAGTTACCAACGGTGGGTTATGTTCATTGGTGTCAAAACCACCAACCATTGTATTCTAATACCACACTAGTCAATTGAGTAGAGGTTATGGAGTTAGTTTTCCTTCGTTCTTTTGCTGATAAGGGAGGGATTAAGATGAGACCGGATGCAAGATTATTAGAGAAACCTCAAGTTTTGAGGAGTTACCAACGGTGCGTATGTATGTGTAATTTTCAGGCTTCAGATTGAAATTTGAAACTAGTTTTATATACAATCACAAATATAAAAAAATGAAGAAACTAGTGTCTGTGTGTGAAATATGTCTGTGGGTTTTGAAGAGAAAGGGAGGGGTGAACGATAACATACATCGGAGGATGGGATACGTCGGAGATGTTCTAGCCTTTTAGGTTTGATCGCCTACGAGTATGTGTTTGTGTGTGAGAGAGAGAGAGAGATAAGATAGAGAGAATGAGAGTTTTACCTATTTTCTTTTTATTATTATTAATATTTTTGTTATTGAAATGTTAATAAAATGTAAAAAAATGTAAAAGTAAATAAATAAGGGTATAATCGTATTTTCAAGTTTTTTTGAACTAAAATCGCAGGAATTTCTTGATTTTGGACCTTCGGTGCAAGTTAAAAACTTTTTGGATCCTATCCAAAGTTTTTAGAAAACCACAAGGACCAATTTTAAAGTAATATATATATATATATATATATATATATATATATATATATATATATATATATATATATATATATATATATATATATAGTTTTTACGGGTAATATAAAACAGAACAAATTGAGGAAAAACTAGCAAGGCTTATCTTCATTCGCTTGGTGTTGCCATGGCTTCCTCTACCATTTTCCACCTCTACCCCTTCAAAACCTCCATAAAACCACCTCCTCACAGACACTCTGTCATCAAATGCACTTCAAATGCATCCTCTCAGCCACCGGACTTCCCCTCTCCCGACTCCTCAACCACCACCAGCTCGGATAGCTTCCCCATCGAGAAACGACGAAAATCCGAGATCATCAGAGACCGAAGATCCAAATCAGGCCTCGTAAAACCAGAACCTCCGAATTTCGAAGTCGGATGGAAGAGAACGGTGCCGATTCCTCTAGAGAAGCCTATAGGTTACGTGATAATGGATTACCTGGAGAAATTGGAGGAGTTGATGGGAATGGAGTACGGATCGACGGCGTTGCTGGCGAAAGCCGGTGAAATTGTGGCGGAAAGAGCGAGAGAAGAGGCGGAGGATCTGAGAGATGAAGGGAAAGTGGAAGAGAGGATGGTGACGGAGCTTTGTAGAGTGTTGAAGCTGATGGAAATGGATCTGGCGA